TAGTGTAGGTTGACACTGTGAATCTGAACTGTAAATATTTTAACATTCATAATGTGAAAAAGTTCGATCAGTTCATATTCACATTGTGAATCTGACTTACTATTATGCCCACTGTAAATTTGAGAAGGTTAAAAAAAACGACCTGTGTAGATTTACTCTGTTAATCTAAACTGCAAATATTTCAATTATTAACATTCACAATGTAAAAAAGTTTAATCAGTTCAGATTCACAATGTGAATCTGACTTTCTATTATACACAGTGAATCTGAAAATGTTCACAATGTCAATCTGAACAGAAATATCATTTTTTTAACATAAATATGAATCTATGTTTAAAAAATACAAAAAAAAAGTATGAATTTTGATATATTTATTAGTTTTATCTATAAAAAAATAAACCTTAACTTTTCAACAAAGAAAATAAAGTGGATTTTTTTCGGAAATAAAAATTTGTTTTTTATATATCATCATTGATCTTTATGGAAATAGTACGAAAAATCGTGAATAACTGTATATTTAGTTTTTTTCGATAAAAAACATGACCTAAAAAGAATTTTAAACAAAAAAAAAATTGAGTTTTGTTATAATCCGATGCTTGTGCGTCTATTGTAAAAGTCTACAACTTTCCTTTTGTCATTTATCACTTTAAATTTCGACGTTTCGGATTGGTTCCTTGATTCCTTAATTAATAATTGATCTTTATTGAATTTTTCCATATATATATATATATATATATATATATATATATATATATATATATATATATATATATGTTCAAATGTTTCTGACAACTATTATGTGCATGTATGTACTAATGCGAATACAGGAAATAATAAAATAATTAAATAAATAAATAAGGGTATAATGGTAATCTTAGTATATTTAATTATGGTAAATGAATAATTCAATTAATATATTCTAAAATAAGGGAATAAACACTACAAAACTTGCAATCACGTATCCCTTCTCAAAACCTTATTCCTCTCTATTTGGAGGCGGCGGAAGCTTTGGCTGGATTAGGTCATTTTCCTGCTACAATTTCCGAATCTCGTTGTAGTGAATCAACTACTGAACGACTCAAGGACGAGTCTAACAAAAAGGTTTGTCAATAATCTAGTAATCTCTAAATTATTTGAATGTTAGGGTTTTTTACTCCATGAAGAACGTCAAAACATTTGTTTCTTCTTTCACAAATTACAACTTGAATCTCAGAACAAATATGATTGTCAGGAATCAATGACAAACATGAGATATAACAATTTAATTAGATAGTTTTCATCACTTTTGATTTGTGTCCATGGCTGTGACAATAACATGACAGAAACATGAAACTGTTATCATGATTTTCATTGGGTTATATACATAATCTTGTACGACTTGAAATTCTTTTTGTCTTCTTTTTTCTGTTACAGAGCAGTGGTCTTGATTAGATATTCCATCTCTAGTACTTGTCTGATTTGCTTAATATGATTCTGTCATGGCCTCCATGTGTTCGATAAAATGCCTCAATGAAAAAATGGTTAATAATCTTTTATTTTTTACTTCGTTTTATTCCTTATTCTTTTCAGAAATATATAACTTAATTTAGATTGGATTGGATGCCCTTTTCATAACAATAGGTTGATGCTAGTTGATTTGGATTAAGTTTGGAATTACATTGATTTCTTCAATCTCGTTTCACTGCTCTTTTATTGTTGGCATTAAATTAAATTAGATAGATTTTGCATTTCTTGTTCCCACACGATTCAATATTGTTTGATTGAGTTTTGGCAAAGTGGATTTTGCTTTCGAATTTCAGTGGATTTTTAATATGTGTGTTGCTTAGTATGTTACCGGAATAAGAAAATAGTTGTATGTACTCTATGTATTCTGCCATAATGTATTCTGCCAAAATGTATTCTATGTATTTTATCATATTTTATGTAATCTTCCATAATATATTAATTGATAGGGATTGTAAGTAACATGCTTTTAACGATTCTTAGTTTTTGTTTTATTTGTGATAGGAATGGTTGGAAGAATGGGTTGAAGAATTACATTCTTGATAATACATCACATTTTCGTAAGAATAGGTGGACTCAAGTCGATTCTTTGGTCCATTGAAGAAGATTAAGTGCATTTCTTTAATAACTGTTTGACAAGATGAATGGGGTTGCATTAGTTGCTATCATTGCGTTGAAGACCTAATAGAAAGAACTTGAATAATGAATAATGTTTGATTATATTCACAATTTTAGAATGTTGATAATTATTAAGAATTTTATTCATTTTTAATGACATTCATTTAGAATATGTATAATTATATTAAAATGTATAAGACTTTTAACCTCTAAGAATATATATGAATTTGTATTTAAGTTTGGATGTATAAGAATATATATTAGAATGTTGTTATTTTTCAACATCGGATTCAAGAATGTCGTTATTCTTCAATAATATTCTAATAGAATAAAACTCTGAAACAACATCATTCTAAGAAAAAAAATATTCTAACAGAGTAAAATTAGTTATATATACAAATCACGTTACAATTAAAATTGAATTAATTAAAAAAATTCAGATTTTTAAAATTAGAAAAATTAATCATCCCTAAAAATCTCAAATTTTCCTTTTATAAAGGGAAATCTCCAATAAAGTCCTAAAATTTTAGCCCGGTTTATGTTTTATTCCTAAACTAATTTTTGTTACGAAAAAAATACTAAAAACCGACAAAAGTTTGCATTTTGACCCTTTTGTTTTAGGAAAATTTGAGACTATTTCATAAATTGACCTAAAATATCGAGATTTTTCTACAAAAACAAAAAATATTAGGGTTTTTGTGCAAACAAAAACCTTATTATTATTATTATCATCATTATTATTATGATTATTATTATTATTATTATTATTATTATTATTATTATTATTATTATTATTATTATTAAAAATATAAATAAGTATACTATTTTAAAATTTGTTATTATTAATATTGTTAATAATACATATAAATACATTTAAATTAAAATAATATTAAAAACATTTTATAAAGGTGAAGGTTGAGCGGATGGTAATGCTTTAAGCTTTGAAATCATGAATGTCAGTTTGTATATTCTAATTTTTTATATGCTCATTTCACATTTGTTAGTATTATTTTTTTTTAATTCAGAATATTAACATTTAACAATTTAAAAGAATACTGATTTTTCAAATTGTTTACAAATAGTGAGCATGTGATATGCATGTATGTCTTGTGTGTAAGTATTCAAATTACCAACATGTGTGTTGCTCTTTTTTATTACTTTATCGTTATGGTTTTTTTGAAACATAGCAGATATAGTGTGATAAAGCAAAACTAGTCATATTACTTTCTATTAAATAAGATATTTTAATTAATATTTTTGAATTTTGATATGGGCTACCAATGTAAATATTTATTGTGGATCTGTTGGATTTTAAAAGAAATCATTCTACCTTAAGAAATTTTATATACAAAGTGAGAAATCATTTTATCTTAAACTATTTATAATAATTTTACAAATATGAAACTTCTTTTAAATTGTTAAGTGTTAATATGTTGAATTGAAAACAATAATAAGAAATGTGAAATAATCATATACAAAGTGAAGACATACAATCAGATATTCATGATTTCAATGCTTAAAGCATTAGCATCACCACCACCTTCACCTTTAAATAATTTGAATAATATATTTTTTATTTAAGTGTATTTATATGTATTATTAAAAATATTAATAATAATAAATTTAAAAATTAGTATACTTGTTTATAATAATAATAATAATAATAATAATAATAATAATAATAATAATAATAATAATAATATGATTTTTGTTTGCAGAAAAGTCCCGATATTTTGGGTTATTTTGTGAAATAGTCCAAATATTTTAGATAAATTTATGAAATAGTCCCAAATTAATTTGTTATCGGTTCCAACCGGTCAAAAAGGGCCAAAATGCATACTTTTGCCGGTTTTTAGGATTTTTTCGGAAACAAAAATTAGTTTAGGACTAAAACGTAAACTGGGCCAAAATTTTAGGACTTTATTGGAGATTTCCTTTTTATAAATGTAATGAATTGTCTAAAATACAATTTTGCTAAAATTTATATGATTGTATAGTACATGTTATCACATTATAATATCATACACTCTCAAAACATGTCTATTGATTAATTTCATCCATTGGTCCAAATTTGTGCATTCTGGCACACAACAGTTAGTAAATGTGTGATTATATAGTACATGTTATCCCATTGTAATATCATACATCCGCAAAATATGTCTATTGATTAATTACATCCATTGGTCCAAATTTGTGCATTCTGGCACACAACAGTTAGTAAATGTTGATTATATAGTACATGTTATCCCATTGTAATATCTTACACCTTCAAAAACATGTCAATTGATTAATTCCATCCATTGATCGAGATTTGTGCAATCTGGCACACAATAGTTAGTAAAACAAAATAACGTATGTGTGTATATCTATATCTATCTATATATATATATATATATATATATATATATATATATATATATATATATATATATATATATATATATATATATATATATATATATATATATATTACACTGTTTTTGATAATTTATGTGTTGGTTGATTTTAGTTTCTTTGTGTTTGTGTTCGTTGATTTAAGTTTGTTTGTGGTTATGTTCGTCTATGATAATTTATTTTCGTTATCAACTAAACTAGTATGAACATGCTAAATTTCTTACCAAAAAAAAAAAACATAAAAAAAAAAAACTCTTGCTTATTGTTTGGGTTTGTCTGTATATTGTTTAAAAGTTAAACTAATAAACACAAAAAACATCCATTCGTTTTCATTTGGTTTCTTAAAAGCCTTATTCCTTTAGCCTCATGTTCAGTCGTGTGCATCATATTCCTTACTTTGTGGACATTGTTATTTGCTTCTCGATCATGAAACAGGTCTTTAGTATACATAAATCAACAAAACTATATTTTTATTTGGTGCATATGACACTATTAAATTCACACAAGATAAATATATTTTAACAAAATTCTGAAAGTACTTTATTTTGAAGGAAATATTCATATGAGTTTGGTCAATCAATGCTGCTTTTTATGACGGAGATTATCGAGTCCAAGACTGCCATGATTACTTTTTCTAGCAATATGTGATTGGGTTTTGATGTGGAATTATCTGCAGATGACGCTAGCATGGTTTCCTTCATGAATTTCTCGAATTCGTCAGTTAACTTTGGAATATGATCCTTCATTAACTTCGTAATTATATCTTTTATTAACATTGTAATTTTATCTTTCAGTAACAATGTAGTTTCATCCTTCAGTAACTTTGTAATCTTATCCTTCATTAACTTTGAAGTTGTAACAAGAAATGATGTAACCGGACAATATGTCGAGTTGGGGTCTTGCTTGCCATTCTCTTCGTTAGCTGCATTACAAACACACAATTGATTGTAAATTTGTCGAGTTGGGGTCTCACGTTTTTTTATTTTATTAATGATGGTAAAATGTATTAAATAAAATACTTTATGCATGTTGGTATCAATGTATAAGTTTGTTGCTATTATAAACAAGAGGGTAAATTTGTGATATTATGAGTAAGAGAATATACAATTATGTTGTTATTTTGGATGAAAAAAAAAAATGTTATATCGGAAAAGAAGTATAGTTGTTATTATGAGGAAAAATGTAAGTGTGTTTATTTTTCGTAACAAATAAATAAATTAAAGGAGAGAGTAAGGCATGTTGTATTTCCTCTAATTTTCCCAATTGGAAATGATCAACAACTTCATCGAATTACTCGTGTTGAACCCACTTTCAAATATAAGTTGTCCTAATTGGTTAAATTTGTATAAATTTTAATCATGTTAGAGCATTAGAGTTGACCGGAAGCTAAATACCAGAAATAATAGTAAACTTACATTAATTTATTTGGAATGTATTTGTTAATTATAACATATTATCTTCACTTATTTATGTTGCAATATTATATTATTTTTCCTGAACATTGTACACGTTAAAAAATACACCAAAAATATAATTGTACTCATTTTTTATTATCTTCTTAAACATTTTACTTCAACTTATCTAAGTTATAGCACATGTTTTGTATTTAAATAACATTGCTACAATTCGATATATTTTCTAAATTCAATGTTATAATAAGATTAAAATAAGATGCTCTACTAACCAAAATAATGAAAATGGGGTAGCAAAATGGAGTTTACGTAGGAAATGTTTAAGTTAAATTATGTGATTTCTAAACGTAATAATTGATAAGTTGTAATAAATTATAAGTTGCATATACGTATAAAAATATCAAAAAAAAAAAAGGTAAATGCGTAAATCGATATTTAGGTTACTGACAGTGAAAATATAAAAACATGGGTACCATCTTATGATTTTTGGTGTGGTTTTTGATAGAGATGATATTCCTATTTGAAAAAATAATTCATCCACATAAAATATATAATTGCAAATATATTGTAACTTATTTGGATAGATCAATTTCATAGGTGAAAAAGTTAAAACATGACTAAGAAGGTAACTTTTGTTCCCACGTCTAATAAACACATTTAAATAAGCTATAAACGAAGGTAAGCTAGTTAATTTTCATGTCTCATAAACACATTTAAATAAGTTATCAACGTTTTCAAATAAATTAAAATAAAGCAGCTTGTTAAAATTGCTCATTTAAGTTGATAATAGTTTTTCATTTTATAAAATTACAAAGGGAAACAAAACTTACCCGTGTCCTGCAATGAGCTTTGAGTATTCAAAATGGAGCACAGAAAATCTCTTAGTGACTCTTCATTCATCAAAATGGCTTCCGGCAATCTTATATCCGATGCTATCGATTGCACTATTCCCTAACAAAAAAATCAATATATAAGTTATTAAAGTTTATTAATTTTACCAAAATTACGAAAATATAAGCACAAAACCAACATATCTACATAAGATTAGGCACCTGAAATGTAGCATCATTTACGAGTAAATTGATGTCAGAATTTGTTGATGAAGATTCATGCATAACATGGTTAGGACTTGAGGGACGCTGATCATTCCCCTGGTGAATTCGTCCTTGTTGAAACTTTCTGATGTTTATATATTAACAATAATTAGCTAATCACGTAAAAAATAAAAAACCAAAAACAAATCAGTTATCAAACATAGCTAGTGGCTCTCCTTGTGTGTTTCTTTGCTTAAACTTTTGAGTTTTCTAGGATGATTAAAGGGTGAAAAAACGTACATTTGAATGGCAGAAATGGCGTCCTGGATTTCAGTTTGAGAAATTGAGAAATTGGAAGAAGAAGGTGGTGGTTGTGTATCATGGTTGTTAGGTGTTGGAACTTCTCCTCCTGACATAGTTAGTTAAAATCGTACAAGGAAGACGAATCAATTTATAAGCTTTGAAGCTTTGAAGAAGTCCTAAGTTTAGAACAATTCGACGCGAGTTGTACAAATTACAAACCCTACATCCCACTAACCATTATGAAATTTACAAGTATGACGATGAGTGCTTAACGTTTTGGACATCATTTTTTTTAAGGGTAGTGGCATTAGTGGATGCAATAAAACTATATAAAAAAGTTAGTAATTTATTACCTAGTTGGAGCCGTTGACTGTGGTCTATGGAATATAGACTTTAAATTTGATTAAAATATTGGAAGTTGGACCAATTTTCTCCCTCCATTGAAACATCGGCCATCGTCGAATCTTCATCTCTCCTTCATTTCCAGTTCTAGGCTTTGCTGTTGTCGCTTGTGGGGTTAACTCTTTAAGGTTCGAATCTAACTATGTGTTATATCCTCTCGTGTTGCGTATTTTAACGTATAGAAAATGTCATATTAACGTATTTTTACTTAGTTATATGTTGTGTCCTGAACACAAAAAGGCTTTCCATTAAATAGCAACGTTTGTTTTTTGTTTTTTTGACATGAAGCAAAAATGGGGATCTTATGTTCAAAACCAATGTTAAATGACTTCCAATAAAATAAAATACTGAAACACAAAGTAAAACAAATAATTTACTTTTGTCTTATTCTAAAAAACACAATCTCCACCTTTTCAGTTTGAAACATCTATGAAATCATACCATCACACTTGTTATGCGAAGCAATATGTATTGTTATCGTTAAGAGGAATGAAAGAGGATTATTTTACCAAACTTTCAGTTATTTCCACAATTTGGTCAAACATAATCCGGGTACGGTGACACATATTCAAACAGATGGTGATGATTGGTTTGAGTTTTTCTATTTCACACTTGGTTGCTCAATTAGTATTATTATATTTTATTATTTTATTATTTTTATTTTGTTTTATTTGAATAGATATACAATGTATTGTAAGTACGCGTTTCTGTTAACTTTTATAAACCTACTCTTGTAGTAGATGGAGCCCACCTAAAGGGCGACTTCAAAGATACCATGTTACTTGTAGTTATTAAGGATGGATAAAATCAAATATTACCGAGTACATATGGTATATGCAAAAATTAGTGTACAGATTCCTGGACATGGTTTTTTCAAAAACTACTTGATTGCATATGCAATACGAAGGAGCTTACAATTATATCTAATGCTACCATCCGTTGCCAACATTTTTCCTCATGCTCATCCGTTGCCAACATTTTTCCTCACGTTCATCACGGAATATGTGGTGTTCATTTGTATGTCAACGTAGTAGCTAGATACGGGAAAAGTAAGACAGTTAAAGATATTTTTTGGGAGGCTTGTAGGGCGTATACAGTTGATGGTTTTGATGCTGCCATGGAACTTATGAAATAGACAAAAGAACCGGTATAAGAATACTTAAAAGTCAACAATTACCAAGGTTATGTCATAAGAGCGTTAACAATCAACAATTACCAAGGCTACTCTAAGTTTGCAGTAAATGCTTACTATACCGAAACACTGAGGAAACATATAAGGAATCAGTAAACCTTTTGTCAAAGTCATCCGAATGGGAGATCCTCGATGATTTGATGATTATTAAGCCACCTATAATGGATAAACGTTAGCCATGCAGGAAAAGAAGCACATACCGCATTCCATCTCAAGGCGAGGGTCCAATTAAAAAAAGTGTTTTGCATCTGGTCAAGCAGAACACATGAGAAACAATTGTTCTGGAAGGGCATCCGGTAGTGGAGCACGTCTGTGGCAACCCGAACCTCTTTCTGTTAAAATTAGCCATTTTTCGTTTAAATTAATTTCACATTTTTATTTGTTCTGTTAAATTTATATGGTTTGGAAAATCATTTAAGTTTTATATAATTAAATTTATATACGAGTTAGAACCAAAAATCGTGCGAAAAACTAGAGTTTCCTTCGAAAAATCAATAGTCCTGACTGGGGTTCACGCAATCACGGCCGTAAACCAATTCACGACCATAAACCAGTTAACGACTGGTGGACCCCACTACTGACCATGAACCCCCCTATGTATACGTCATTTCTAACCTCATTTATACTTTTCTGGCCGAAAACTATGTAACTTCTCAATCGAAAACACCAAAATACCCTCTTTTCTTCCAAAAAACATTAAGACTCACCTATAGACGTTATTGTGGAACATCTAAAACGCATTTTTCGACGAATCAAGCATCACTGTTCTTGAATTCAAGACCTAGAACCCTTCAAATATTCAAACCTTCAAGGGCCGCAAACAGTCCATGGTCGTAAACCCCTCAAGAGGTTGTTCACAACCGAGAACAGTTCATGGCTGTAACCCTCTTCACGGATCTAAACCCTCCTCAAGTGGTGAACTTGACTGAAAACTCGCTATCCCCAATTCAATCAAGTCCTGGTAACATTCCTAAACTAAAAGCAAGTGTTTTCCAACACTATAAATAATGGTTTCACTAGTAAAACACATATATGTATTTAATTATTATTAGGATCCCGTTATGTGCCGCGTATATCAATCCGGGGGTCTTCATTTCCAGTTTCGTTGTCCGACATTTCATGCACCTAACAGTGAGTTCAACCCCTATACTTTTGTGATTATAATTTTTTCAGGGAAGGGTACAAGCCAAACTCAAATGATCTGTGAATTTATACAAAGGAATTTCTAAACACTTAAAACTGATGCAATGAATATAGTCATACGGTTTCCACATTTCATAGAATACTTAGATATTTTATCCCTTTTGTATTAGGCTGAGCATAAGGGACATTTTCAACTTACTACTAAATTTCATAGTTTTCAGATCAATTCATGAACCGAATACATAATATTCATACAAACTATAATAGGTAAAGTTTGGGATTTCAAAATATAGCATTACAAAGTTAGAGTTTATACATTGTTAAACATATAAACTATGACAAACTTAGTTTATGACATTCTCGGGTAATAAGTATACTTTATTACATAATTATTTAAGTATAATTATTACTTGATAAAGTATACACAAGGGTTAATACAATACATCAACACACGGTATATAAACTAGATTATATAGAATTGTGAGACTCTACTTCAAAACTGTACCCTTTGGTGTACTAAACTAAATCCTATCATAGTATAACCAGAGTCTCCCGGAGGGAGAGTCTGAGATTTGTGAATAGATCTATTCGGGACTGACAATCCTACACCTGAACTGCTAGATACAGTTAGGCAGGCATACCTGGGGTGACAAATATCATATATTCGGCACTTGAAGAACGTTGTAAAGGTCTTTAGGTCATATCAAGCATGGTTATACGACTCATAATAGTATTAACTAACCTTTGTTTACGGGATTTCATTCTTCATTAGTTTTATTCTGATTAATAGAACTACAATACACTACTGGAGGATTCCAGGGGGTACAAGACATGGTTTTATTTTAAGTAATGAAACTATTATACATACTAGTGGTAACAAGGGTTTTCAAATAGAACATTCTGTACATTACTGGTAATAGCCAGGGTTTTCATGCAAAGGGTTTTTCATTCAAAACAACGATATACAATACAGCTGGTGGTAACCAGGCATACGAACTAATACATTATACACTACTACAAAAACACAATAACAAACATATATGTTAGAAAATATTGGATTTTCTTGGGAAGCATACAAACATTTTTACCGAATTCATTGAAAGGTTTTCACTACAAAAACATTCTTATGAACTCACCAGCTTAATGTTGATTCTCTTTCAAAATTGTTTGTATTCTCAGGAAATCAGTATACAGGTACTCACGCAGGATTTTGAGAAGACGGAATGTATAGAGTCATGTCTTTTATATTTTGTTATACTTTTGATGTATACAAACAATGTATAAACCAAATGTAAATATCCATATCTTAATGTAATGGTTGTATTTACTTTGATTACTATGATGCATTGTTGTGATACTACATATGCCGTCCTCCACCCCGAACGTTCCCGTTGTTTCGGTTTGGGGGTGTGACAACATCGCACGAGAATTTCTACTACAGAAACGACATTTAATATTGGTGCTTCTACGAGTTGCTCACAAACCTATGATGCCATTTTGATATAAAACAACTTTAATTGAAGAGTTGTTAACTTATTATGTATTATAATATTTTTATTAAATCTTATAAGATATTGCTATGCTTTAATATTTTAATATACTTTGTAGATTATAACAACAAATGAAGCTTTATATATTTTAAGATGTTGTTATGATTTTGTTACTTGTTTTCAGTTCGTAGTTCAACTTTTTGAATTCATAGTCAAACCAAATGATTTCATAGTCAAACTTCACTGATTAACAAGACAACACATTGTACTTGTCTGCAGTTTATAGTTCAACTTTTTGGATTCATAGTCAAACTTTACTGATTAACAAGACAATGCAGTGGACTTGTCTGTAATAAAATTTCTTTTCTAAATGGGTAATAATTACTCCATGAAATTTATCTTTGAAGTAAGTCATATTTGATAAAATGAATCAAGTGAATGACATACTGCAATTGCGGAGGGGAACGTATCATTAGGATATCGGGTACAACTAAAACCCAGTCTTGCGGCACCCATTCATTTATTTCTTTTCCCAAAAATCCTTCACACAAAACGTATATAAGACAGACTCTACCTGCATCATCGTCGGTAGCTTCTAAGAAGAATGACTTAAAATAAAACTTTTCAAGTCACAGATTTTCACTGAATTATTTGTATGGTTCGGAAATAGACGTTCATGCAATAAACATTTTTTTTACTACTAGCTTTTTTTTCTGAGACTTTTTTGCCAATGATTTTGGGATACATGCCGAAATTAAACCCGGTTATCAAACAAAACTCTTCCGGGGTATAAACCAATTTTGTATCCCCCAGTCTAAAATATAATCATTTTATGCCATCTGGTGATAAAATGGTGTCCGGTCATATCTAATGAAGAAAGATTTTATGGAACATTAATATGTCCCCTTCCAATTAAGGGATGTCTAACAAGTAACCAAACACAGTTTGTCTAAAGCTATT